TTCACTGAGGTTAGTTCTCCAAGAAAGAAGCAATTTCTTAAAATCAAGCTGTTGATATTCCTATTTTCAGCTTGGCATGTTATATTTCTCACAGAACTCATGCTGAAATTCTGCTAGTGTTCCTGGCATGTATTAGTTCAAATCTTCACTATATTCTATGTTTATAGAAATAGAGACCCAGGAAAATATAAAGACTGATTTTTTCAAAATCCCACAGTTTGTGGACATTTGTAGAATATTTTTTTTTACATGGTACACTTGTTATGACCTGTTTTTTTTTCTTTTTGGCAGACAGAAATCTGACTAGTTGAGATGTCTGTTCTCTGACCAAAAGTCCACTCAACAACAGTTGAACTTTGACATAATCTAAAATTTCTTTGAGTAAATATACTGTTATTTATAGCCCCATTCCATGTCTGACATGTGGAGTTTTGTCTCTAAGATACATGGGATAAATGTTTCTTGGGTGTCACTCTGAATCAGAAAGAAATATCATGTAACTCACAAAGAAACATGAACCCAAGAAAAATCCAACCTGAAAGGGAACACATATTTGAAAGTTCTGCCATTTATATATGGCAGTTCTGGCCATGTATGTTCAGTATGCATATAGAAACCCAGTTCAATGATATCATGGAATAAAAAGACAGACATAAAGAAAGAGCAACTTTGTGCAGAAATCATCAGGATCCAAATAGAAAAGAAAAGCAGTATTGAGATTCAGTATTACTGAAATATTCTCTCATGAAGTGTGAATTCTTTGCGTCAGAGGCAACATTGTATGACTGTAGTAGATTTTCAAAAAACACTGAATGGGGCAGGTAAAATGCTTTGGTAATAAGAAAAATGGTACCAAATGGTACATTCTACTCTTTCTAAATGATTGGATTCAAGATTTACAATCCACCATTGTGTTTAAAATACTAAAAAGGTCATTTTAAAATAGCTTCATTTTATTGAGAACCTTTGACCCTCCCCTTCCACCAAAGTGGATACCAGGGCCTAAGACTGATTTTCAGCATGTACCTTCACCAAACTATTCACAGCACCTTTCGGTGGGCCAGGTGTCTCTGATTTGGTACAAATTATAAAGAAGCTGCTATTCTGTGTGAATATGTCTAGAATATAGAGATGACTTGATCAACTCATAGAAGCCAGAGGAGAAGACAGTGCACAATGTCAAAAATAAATCTCCTTTTAGGGGGCAGTTAGGTGGTGCAGTGGATAGAGCACCAGCCCTGAAGTCAGGAGGACCTGAGTTAAAATCCGGCCTCTGACCTGACGCTTGACACTTACTAGCTGTGGGCAAGTCACTTAATCCCAATTGGCTAAAAACAAATAAATGAACAAATGAACGAATGAATGAATGAATGAATGAATGAATAAATAAATAAATAAATAAATAAATGATTCTACTTTTTAAAAATACACAATTACAATTGTAGCTGTCCAGGAAAAAAAAAAGGCAAAATAAAAGAGACTTGGGACAAATGAAAATTACTCCTAATTTCTTATTAAAATTTTTCTAAAGAAAGATCACATCTATTTCAAAATCCACTGCAGCATCTACCAACTATGTGTGTTATATCTGTCTCATACCTTCTGGCATCATTTAAATACCTTTCTTCTTTGTTTCTCAGAAGATCCTATATAAGGCATCTATTCACGAACACATCAGGGAAAATGTCATACTTAACTGGACCTTGGCCTGAGATCAAAAGTCATTCCTTTACTCAAGAAGCATCCGTGGCTCTCCTTTACCTTTAGAATAATTTATAAACTTCTATGTTTACATGAAAAGCTATGCTATGAATCCAGACTATCTTTCCATGCTAATTGCACATTACATCCCCTCATACATTCTCTATTCTGGCCAAATTGGGCTACCTGATATTCCTCACTCATGACATTCCATCTCCAAAATCTGTACCTTTGCTCAGGCTTATCCCCTTAGCTGGAACACTCTCCTTATTCATTTCTGCCTCTTGTGACTCCCAATTTATTTCAAGGTTCACCTCAAGGGCTACCTCTTGAAAACCCTGGTGCTTCCCCCTAAAAAATAGCTATGGATCTATTTTGTATATATCTAATATTGACTTATTTGTAAGTAGAATTAAGTTCTTTGAGTATTTGTATCCTTAGAACCTAGCAAAATGCTTGGCACAGTCTTAATAAATTATAATTGATTAATTTATTGATTATTTATGTTCATCCAAACTGATATATATGACATCTATGATTTAGCCATGAATAAGAGATAGATGACATAGATACACAGACACGTGTATATACATAGATGTATATACATACATATATATACACATTCATATACATACATCTATATTTATACACACAGCTAGGTCTTAGTGAGCATGAATAATGAAGAAGAGAAAGGGAATAAGCATTTATTATATACTTATACACACAGCTAGGTCTTAGTGAGCATGAATAATGAAGAAGAGAAAGGGAATAAGCATTTATTATATACTTACTATGTGCCAGGAACTGTGATAAGCACTTTATAAATGTTATCTCATTTGAGCTTTACAACAACCCTGGGAGGTAAGTGCTATTATTATCCCCATTTTACAGTTCAGGAAACTGAGGCACACAGAAATTAAGTGACTTGCCTAAGGTCACATACTAGTAAGTATCAGGGCTTCCTGACTTCAGGGCCATCACACTACACACTGAAACATTTAGCTGCTAATGAATTCCCTGAAGTGGTTGTGTGTATTCAGATTTGTACTATTTGAAGTTATTATTATATAAAAATACGATCATTGGCTCCAGATCAATGAAAATATGCAGTGAAAATAAAGATAATTCAATAATATCAGATTTATTATTTACACTAATTGAGACCTGGCCATGTAACAATGTCTTATGTAATAACACTGTGTGGAGGTATTTAAGTAGGGCTTGAATGACTATTTCTCCTGGGTCTGAGTCTCAACTCCAAAAAGCAATACTTCATCAATGTATGATTTTGAATAAGTCACATAACCTCAGTTAACCCCTTTTTTTCAAATATGACTTCACTCATCATATAATGAGTTAAGCTTTGTAAAATTCAAAGTAACATATAAATGTGAGTTATTATACTTTTGTAGAGGATGTTAATGTATTTGTATTTGTTAATGTATTGGTCCTAAGGTTGCTCCCAACTCTGAAATGCTATGATTTTGTGACTCAATGGAAGTGGATAAAGTCAAGGCAGCTAGGTGGTCCAGGGGATAAAATCACTGGCCTATAGTCAGGCAGACTCCTCTTCCTGAGTTCAAATCTGGCCTCAGGAATTTAATAGCTGTGTGACCCTGAGCAAGTCACTTAACCCTGTTTATCTCAGTTTCTTCATCTATAAAATCAACTGGAGAAAGACATGTCAAACCATTCCAATACTTCTGCCGAGAAAATCCCAAATGGGGTCGTGAAGAGTCCGAAACAACTGAATAATAAGAAAATGTATAGTTAACTCTTTCAAGCTCTGAAAACCAAGTCCTTAGTTTATCTGCATAAAAATCAAGTAAATATCCATTTTAAATTGTGTTTTTATGCCCAAATAGTGAGTGAATATGTATAGGGAAAAGATAGAAAGAAAGAACAAATAGATGTTTGATAAGAGAGCCAGAGGGAGAACAAGAAATACAGAAAGAGAAAGAACAGGAATCAAGACACTGTATGTGGAGCAGGGGAGTGGGAAATGTAAGTTTCCTTAAGCTACAACTGTCATATTGTTTTTTTAATTATACAACATCTTCCATGTCATACCTTGGAGACATATGAATAAGAATGAATGAATAAATTTAATTGGAACAAGTTCACAATCCCCTTGAAAGCAAGTAATGTGTCTGAGCCTCTTTGTATTCCCAGCTAATATATTGTTCCACACACACACAAAATAGATGCTAAGAAACTATTGTTCCATAAAGTGGGTGGGGGTCATAATGATGACGATGATAAAGACGAGGAAGACGATGATGAAGAAATTGCAACAAGTCAACAATAAGCATTTATTTATGATGTATATGCCATGTATATTATGTGTATGGGGTGTTCAAGGAGGACTAACATCTCTGGTTTGAGGGCTTGCTGAGCCCTTTTTAGGGCTAATTATCCACCTTCATTGTCTACCTGACACTCAACTCTCACCTGCAGCTCCAAGAAGTTATAGCATATGCAGCAGCCACACCCCAGTAAACCACCTCAGCAGATAGGCTAAACCAGGTTGAAGGCAGCCAATAGGCCTCAAACCCATCAGTGAGTTAGGAGATGTCTACCCCACATATGTGAAGCCTTCCCCTGGTGGAATGGGTGGATGAGAGCAATTTGCTCAACAGTCATGAAGTTAGATGAAGCATGTGCTGTGGAACACATAGACCTGCATCGGACATAGAAGACTCCAAGGTCATCCACTGCATCACCAATACTCTTGACTTTTGTCTTGCCACTAGTCTTTGATGACTCAGAGAGAGTGATACTGATGACTTTGTGCAACTCTGCCTCAATTAAATCCAATTTCATGAGTAAGTCAAAACATTATCCATGTTATCATTGGTCCTCTTTAAAAACTGAAGGACAAACAACATATGCCAAGCACTGTACTAAGCTGTAGGCATACAAGGGAAGGGAAGGGAAGGGAAGGAAGGGAAGGGAAAGGAAAGGAAAGGGAAGGGAAGGGAAGGGAAGGGAAGGGAAGGGAAGGGAAGGGAAGGGAAGGGAAGGGAAGGAAGGAAAGGAAAGGAAAGGAAAGGAAAGGAAAGGAAAGGAAAGGAAAGGAAAGGAAAGGAAAGGAAAGGAAAGGAAAGGAAAGGAAAGGAAAGGAAAGGAAAGGAAAGGAAAGGAAAGGAAAGGAAAGGAAAGGAAAGGAAAGGAAAGGAAAGGAAAGGAAAGGAAAGGAAAGGAAAGGAAGGAAAAGAAAGAAAAAAATTCTCTATTCTCAAGGAACTTTCAATCTAATGGGGAAGACAACATGTAAGCAACTATGCACAAACTACTTACACACAGGGAGGAGTGCCTCCAGGAACTCTTGCTGAGCCAACTGTAAGAGTTTCAGTATGAGCATTTACACCTAGAAAATTGGCAAACACCACAAAACAGGGTTTAATTTCTTGTTGTGTTCATTGTATTGAAGAAAGGGATGGAGAATATGTTAATAATACAAAGTAAACTTTAAATTGTCTACTTTTTTTGGTGGGGTGCCATTTAAACATTTGCCTGTATATCTATTGTACATAATCAATATAGGGAAGTTGTCAGCGTTATGGGGGATCAGGAAAGTCTTCTTGTAGAAGATAGGATTGTAGCCTGGATATGAAGGAAGCCAGGATGTGAAATGAGAAGACAGGGAATTCCAGGTGTGGAGGACAGCCAATGAAATCTACAGTCAAGAAATGGAGTGTCCTGTGTGAGAAACAGCAGATGCCAGTGTCACTGGCTCACAGAATATGTGGAGCAGAGTAAGGAATAAGGAGATTGGAAAGGAAGGAAAGGCAATGAAGGGCTTTAAAAACAAGCAGAGGATTTTGTATTTGATCCTAGAGGTAACAGGGAGTCATTGGAATTTAGGGATGGGGTGGAGGAAGGATTGGTGACGTGGTCAGACCTGCTTTTTAGGAAGATAGACAACTGAATGGAAAATGGACTGGAGTTGAGAGGGTGGTGCAATAGCCCAGGTGTAATACAAAATGGATTGGAATGGTAATAAACGTTTATATAGTACCTACAAAGTGCCAGGCACAACCTTACAATGCAGATGATGTTATTATCCCCCTCATACTCCCCCCATTTTACAGTTAAGGAAACCGAGGCAAAGAGGTTAAATGACTTGCCCAGGATCACACAGCCAGTAAGTATCTGAGACAGGATTTGAATTCAGACCTCCCTGATTCCAGGCCCAGAGCACTAGCTACTGTACTACCTAGCTACCTGGAGTAAGGGAGACGAGCACAGGTGTGAGGTAAAGAGGGCCTGCAGTGGGGCGGTAACAGTGTCAGAGGAGATAGGAGAGTAGACACAGAAGTAACACATTTAAATGAACCATAAGGTACAAAAAAAAAAAAAGCAACATTTCTCCATATTTTATTTATGGAGTTTGAGAGGTGACTTCTTAACCTTCAATACAGGAATGTCAATGAGAGTGCCAAAAATTGTCCACTGGGACAGTAATTTGCAATAGGTTACATTTTATACTGTCTCTCAGCTCATAGTCAATAGGTCTTAAGTTACTGAGAAGTCAATAGAATCAGCTAGATTTCCAGGGACCAATAAAGTTGTCTTTCACATAAGTGGTTACCACAATATGTCTCACTCAAGATAAATTGAAAATGACAGCGACCAAATAAAAGAGTAACCCTGATAATGGCGCACTAACCCCGCTCAGACTCCCCCCTGAGACTCAGGTTCTATGAAGTAAAGCCAGAACTCACAGAGTGGTACCAACCTGACATAAGGAATAGACAGAGGATAGAAATGCACCCAAATATACCCATGTCATAAGGAGTTAGATAGATGAGAGTCAGAGAGAACTCTCAGTCTCTGAACTCCTATCAGCCCTGTCTGATACCTCAGATTTTCAAGAGCACTGTGCTTGGCCCCTTTTGGAAGCTGCAGTGTTTTACTAAGGATGTATGGGAGCATGAGAACTGAGCCTGCTAGTTCTAATGAATGGCAACGACTTGTTTAAACTCTACTCCCTAAGATCGCTGCCTTCATATAAACTTTGTACTTTCTCCTACATATGTTAAGGCATTTTTATTCCAAATGGAAATTGAGTCGTTGTTTATTTGTTGAGGTTTTATTTCTAATTTAGTATTATCAATAAATTTGTATAATACATCAGGATTGGTCCTATTGCAAAGGCAGAGTAAATAATTGTGTACACAGTGTGACATGAAGGTGCATCTGTGTCCAAATGTTCTTCCTTGTCACCTGACCAAAGTTTGTCATTTAATTTACTGCTAGGAAGCCACTAGTAAAATCCCAATATCATACATACCAAGATAGAATAATACATTAATGCAATGCATGTCAAAGAACCTTTGAATCAGGAAGCCCTGGATTTAAGTCCTGCCTCTGAGACTTACTCACTATATGGCAAGTGAATGACCTTTCAGGGCTCTAGTCAATAATTTAAGACTAAAAATTGCAGGACAGTGGCCAATCTGTACTGACAGAGGAAGTTTCCTCACTGAGGAGCAGTTTGTCTTTGCTCAGGTTGCTTAACCTTTTGGTGGCCCCCAAGCAATTCTCTAAAGCTATAAGCTGCCAATCTGCATTATTGGAAAGAGTTTCCATACCAGAAGTTCCCTACATAAATAATGTCACACATTTAGACTAAAGTGAGGTGGGGCTAAGCTTAATCAGTAACAGTAGTTAAAACACTCTCAGATGGAAATTAATAATATCAGCTCCCTGTCATAAAGCAGGCTCCTGAAAAGATGAGACAAAATACAGGTAAATTTTAATTTAAAAAAAAAAAGAAGAAAGAAAAATTTGCAGCATGGAAGGCTGTGGTCTTCCTCCCATCCCTCAATGTGGACTAAAGGTCTTAAAGGGAGGTAGATTGGGAGAATGTGGTGACAAGATCAATACTCAAGTGATGGAAAGAAGAAAAGAGAGAAGTAAAAAGAATGAAAAGAGACACAAAAAACAGGCCAGATAGAGAGTTGGAGAACATTGAAGGCAATCTTTAGATAAAATTTTGTATAAGGCTGACTCCACATGGAGAGAAAAACAGACCCTATGGATCTGAGACAAATGGAATAAAGGTATCCTGAGTCCCCATCCTGATTCACCCTTATGTGACTTATAATTCTCTCCAACATAATTTGTCTATTTTTTTCCTCCTTTCATCTCTTTTGCTGTTACTACTGCAATTAAACTACATCTTTATCCAATTCCTTCACAGATGGCAGACTCAGCAAACTACACATAACATCAAATTGGAAGGAATTTCTAACATGTTGGACAGCAGAATCAGTAGCCAGAAAGAAAGATCACAATATGCTATACTATTAGGTTAACTCTACTAAGATGAAATGTAGTGGACATAAATGTCAATGCTAATATCTGGGCTCAAAAAGTCAGCTACATAAGTTCAGAGTGGAGAGCATGCTTACATGCTCTCTTATTCAAAAAAAAAAGTTCTTATTTTTTAAAAAAGACCCTAGTATCTTTAGTGGACCTCCAGCTAAATAAAAGCCACATGAAGGTTTACATAGTACATTATGTATATTATTTCGTTTGATCCTGACAATGATTCCTTGAAGTAGGTTGCCCCCATTTTACCTATGAAGGAACAAAGGCTCAGAGAGGTTAAGAGAAGTGCCCATGGTCACATAGGTGGTAAATGCTGGAGTCAGATTTCAAGCCTCAGTCTCTCCTGTGTCCAAATCTAATGCTTTTTCTCCTATACCATTCTGACTTTCTGGAGATTCAACAGTGAAACGATGGCCATAGAAGCTAAGAGGACCTTCAGTTGTACTAATAGGAAAGTTACGTCCAAATCCTGGAGACTATATCCCTTTTTTCCCTATGGTGAGAGTATATCTTAAATACCACATTCCATTCTAGGTACCGATTTTTAGGAAGGACTTTGGAAAACTTAAAGCATGTCCAAGGGAAGATTATCAGGATTGAAAGAGGACTAGAAACTATGATACACAATAATCAGTTGAATTGGGGACATTTAACCTGAAGAAGAGAAAATTTAGGAAGGATATAATAGTCATATCGAAGCTTTCAAAAGGGCATTATGTAGAAGAGTAATTAGATTCTTTCTGATGAGCCAGAAAAAGGCAAACAAAAAGGATTCATAGCACATTGGATACAGCACCAGCCCTGAAGTCAGAAGGACCTGAGTTCAAATCCAGCCTCAGACCAAACACTTGACACTTACTAGCTGGACAAGTCACTTAACCCCAATTGCCTTTTAAAAAAAAAGGATGCATAAAATTTGCAGACATAACTCATCTCCTTATAAGGATAAACCTCGTAAGTCTTAGACTTGTACATAAACAAAATGGACTACACCAAGAGGTAGGTGTTCTTCTTAATTTGAGGTCTTTAAGCACAGATTGGATTAAATTACTTCTGAGGTCTGTTGTAAACCTGACTGATCAATGAGCAAATAAACATCGGGGAAGCATCTACTATGAACCAGGCCCTGTATTAATAGGAAGACAAAAGTAAAAATGGTCCTGCCCTCAACAAGCCTATATTCTGTTGAAGGAGCTTTCACGAATATATGTATCTGTATCAAGTATGCTCTGAGCTTGCTCTCTCATCCTGTCACTAGTAGCTCAGGTCCCCATTGGGTGACTAGTTACATTTCCTCATCAAGATTCTAGGGGTACTTTAGAGGGGATATAGGGTTCTTCTGTTGGAAAAACTATCTTCTAATAGAAGAAACTATCTTTCTAAGCTGTCATATTGAGCCCCCATTTCAGTGTATTCTCCTCAATGTCAAACACCAGTTATTGGTGCCCCAATCCCATTTAACCAATTGCTATTTCCTCAATATTATTAAGAAGTAAAGTCAATTAGCTTTTATGAAGCATATACACAGAGAAATTATAGTAAGACATGAAGTACTAAAACACCCCCCAAAAAACTAGTCACAATCTCCCATTTAACACCTGTATCTCTGAGGGAAGTGGGCTTAAATGTATAGTGGTCGCTAATAATAATATCTGACTTTTACATAATGCCTATACTATGCCAAGCATTGTGCTTTATAATTATTATCTCATGCTATTATCACAACAACCCTGGGAGGAAAATGACATTATTATCCCCATTTTACAAATGAGTAAACTGAGGCAAACAGAAGTTAAGTGACTTGCTCAGGATAACACAGCTAGTAGATATCTAAGACTGTATTTAAACTAGGTCTTCTTGGCTCCAAGCCCAGTGCCCTATCCACAGTGCCACTTAGCTGCCTCCAAACATTTTCATAATTGAGTTCACTCCCATATACAGCATAGCCAATGGATGAGTAGCTCTTTTATTTAAGGATATGGTGTTTCAGGTGCCAAGTTGATTCAAGGTTACATTGGCTCCTTCCCAGGCTAAGCTACTGGAACTCTAGTGGCTTTTCCAAACTTTCAAGATTTCATAAGGGCCTGTATGTACCAAAGGAAGGAAGACACAAACAGATAGCAGCACCATCAAAGAGACAGGGTGGTCTTAGAGTATACTCACTAGTCCAATCAGTGGGGAGTGGGGAGAAGAAGGTGCTCTCCTCATTGGTCATTTAGAAGTCAGAGACCCATCCTCACATGCTGCAGCCAATAGAAAGGAAAGAACAACTTAGTCACTTAATGCCTTTAGTATACACACTCAGTCCAAGCTTAGTAGATAATTAAAAGACTTTGCATTATCACAAAGTAAGCCAATAGGAAATAGTCACAGAACACCTGTGCAGGCACAGAAGCTAAGTCCAAGGCCCTCCCTTCTGCTCTTTTTGGATGCAGTCTACCCAAGCATCCATGTGTATAGACACCAGGCAAGGCAGATTTTGTATGCTCCAGGGACTAGGTACTTATTTGACAGTCCCCATTACAAATAGATATATATATACAAAATAGATACAAAACAGGGACAAGATACTCTTTGGCAGGTAGACATTACAAAGTGGGAGGATTTACAATTCTTTCTGCTGCTAAATAATTTAGATTAATTTAGGATAGTGGAATAATAAAGGCAGCTAGATGGCACAGTGGATAGAGCACTGGGTCTGAAGTCAGGAAGACTCATCTTCCTGAGTTCAAATCTGGCCTCAGACACTTACAAGCTTTATGACCCTGGGCAAATCACTTACCCTCTTTGCCTCAGTTTCCTCATCCATAAAATAAGCTGGAGAAGGAAATGGCAAATCATTCCATTATCTTTGCTAAGAAAACCTCAAATGAGGTCACAAAGAATTGGACTTGACAAAAACAACTGAATGACAGTGGAAGAAAGGGGAATCACAGCCATCAGAGAAGTCTGGCATATTAAATAGGAAAGTCAGTCAAGTTAAAAAGAATTTATTAAGTATTTGCTACATGCCAAGGACTGTGTTAAGTACCAGAAATACAAATACAAGCAAAAAGAAAGATAGCCTCTTCCCTCAAGGAGCTCACATTCCAAGATGGGAAGACAACACACAAAAGGAAGCTAAGAAGTAGAGGTGAGAAGAGAAAAGGGGATGTGGTGGCAAAGTCCAGAGAGTCAGGAGTGGAACCTACAGAGGAAGGAAGGAGTGAACATGGCTTGCATGAGAACTTTACTTAAAATGGAGTTCCTAGGAGGAACCAACTAACCAAAGGAAAGGACTGTTGGGAAGGAATGATCTTCCTGGATGAAAAGGCTGGTAGGAAATGGTAGAGAAATGAATAAGTACTGGGACCATAGAGGAATGTTCAAAGATTCAGATGGGCTGGAAGTGACCCACAACCAATCCCTACCCAGTTGTGCCAATGCACAATAAGTGCTACCCCTATTTCTTTTTGGGTTCAAATAGAAGACTAGAGTCAACCACACCAAAAATAAGGAATACCTAAAAGGGGAAGGAATTCGTTGCCCTTCTCTCTCCTACACTGCACATCAGAGAATGACTAGAGGTCTGAGGACATAATGAATGGTTCCCAGTCTCTGTGTTACCCTTTCACTGACTAAACTGCATGACCTCTGCATAGCTAGGGCTACTTTTAGAATCTAGATTTTTAGAATTCTCAGTATCCTGTAAAAATACCAAGAATCAACTTCGTAATTCCCAGAATGAAAAGCATATGCTGAAGAATTCCTGGTGCACTTACCATTCTAGGTGGACTCTTCAAGCAGAATAATACACCATGCCTATTTTGCTGACCTCAGGAATGGGTGAATATAAAATGACAGAATGATGGATTTTGAAGGTTATGTTTTAAAAGGAAAAAAAAACTACCAGTATAGAAGTTCCATTCAAGATGTACACTAAAAATAAATGGTTTATTCTTCTGTATTATATTCTAGTGGCATCCTTAAAAAAGGGTTGGGGGAGGGAGTGAGAACACCAATTCTGAGGATGTCCAGGCTTTGGTAAATAATACTAACACAGGGCTCTTTTGAAGAGTGGGAGGGAGAAGAAGGACCACATAGATTCAAATGCAATTTTTTTAATTGGGAAAATTCCTGAGATGCAACAAAGTAGCACTCATTTTAAAGAATGCTTTTTTGAAAGCAATATAATGTTTCTTTCCCAACCTAAACTTAGAGGAAAAAAATAGGAATTGAGGATTCCAATTTAAGAAACCTGGCCATTTGCAAAGATATTAAATTCTTGAGAAAGAAGCAATTCCCTGTCTTTTGAAAATGTTGACATCTCTCTACGGTAAAGAAAATTGAGGCCATTTGTGAGCTTGGTTTGCCAAAAAAGGGTCAGGTGATTATCTTCTGAATCTACTTGGCTTTATTTTTTAAAAAAATTTTAAAAAATTCTCCTCTCCAAAGTATTTTACTAAATGCATTCAAGCACTCTATCATGTAATTTTCATTGAGAAAAAAAAACATTCAAGGGCTAGTATTTTCTTGTAAAAATCATAGAGAAATAGTGTTTCACTTAAAAGTGCTGAAATTCTCATTGAAAACACACTTTTTTTAAGTACTTGGACTGCTGGGAGCTCTTCAATAACTTGAAACTGGTGAAAGTTCAGTTTCTAACTGGCCCCCTGGGACCAACTTCACATTCAGAAAATCCAACTGTGTTATGTGAAGTGAAATCCATTTATATGTCAACCTTGAAGAGATGGGCATTTTTCATTTGGCTTGGGAATCTGATAGGGAGAACATAAGCTGGGAACGAATTTTAACCCAGTTCCCACCCTAAAGTTTTAATCCAAATGAATCCCTCCCAAGTTTTTATCTGACTGGTACAAGAGAAAAACTGTCCAGTTAAAAGGAAGTTGTGGCATGAGAGAGTCTGAGCTGGATCCTCCCCAGAGGAAGAATGCAAGTGCCAAGATATTGGCATTCAAATGGGATAGCTCTAGTTCACTCCGGTACTTTTCAGGCATGATCCCTTTCTCTGTTCCCATCATACCTCTGTGTCCTGAAGCTTTTCCGAAGGAGATGCTATTACATCACTCAGAAATCTGACCACTTTCAGTTTCCAGTTCCTCCTGAAAAATCATGCTTCCTTTCACCATCCATCTGGTCTATCTCACCTGGCAGCCACACTTTCTACAACTCTACCTCCTTTCTTATTTTTTTTCCAATTCCCCTTTTTCTTGGACATGCAATGCCAATTTTCCTCATTGAGAAGGGTAATGAAGGGCAGAATAGAAAGTCTAATTTCCAGACTTTGTGTCACACTTTACTCACTAACAACCCTTTATGGTAGGTAATAATTATTATTAATAATAATGATAACAAACATTTTTGTAGCACTTTAGTGTTTGCAAGATACTTTGCATATGCTAACTTATTCCATCTTCATAACAACCCTGGGAGGTAGGTGCTATTTTTAGTCCCATTTTGCACATGATAAACTGAGGCACATAGAGGTTAAGTGACTTGTCCCAGGATCACACAGCTAGTAAGTATATGAAGCAGGATTTACACCCACGTCTTCCTGACTCCAAGTCCATTCTCAGGCCACATGCCATCTAGTTTGCCCCAAATCATGCCAATAGTATTCTGCTCCTTTTTACAGGTAAGGAAACAGAGTTTCTTAGAAGTCAACCAACTTTTCCAAAGTCACAGAGATTAGAAGTGGCAATTGAAAGACAACCAATCAACAAGGATTTATTCAGCATTTACTACCTGCCAAGTACTGTGTTGAGCAATGGAGACACACACACACAACACACACACAACACACACACACACACACACAAAAGGAAAACATAACCCCTGCCCTCGAGGAGCACACATTCTAGCGAGGGAAATAATCTACCAACAACTCTGTACACTCAAAATCTATATTTCACACTATACAGTGTGAAAAGAAGGTATCTAAAAAGGAAGGCACTGGAAGGCAAGACAGGGGGACCACAAAACATCTCTTTCATAAGGTGGGATTTCAGCTGAGTCTTGAAGAAAGTTACGGAATCTAGGAGACTAAAGAGGGTAGCTAGTGCAAATTCACAGAGATGGGTGATAGAGTGTCATATGTGAGGAATAACAGGTAGGCCAGTGTTGCTAAGTTGTAGCATACATGGAGGAGATTAAAATGTAAGAAGGCTGGAAAGGTGGAAGGGACCATCATATGAAAGGTCTCTGGAACTTGTTAAAAGGTCAGATCTACACTTCAAAAAGAGCACTTTGACAGCACAGTGGAGTATGGACTGGAGTGATGAGGGATTTGAGGCAAGGACAACAGTCATCTAGGCATGAGGCGATGAGGGCTGGACCAGGGAAGTGACAGTGTCACAGAAGAGAAGGGGGTATATATGAGAGATGTTACAAAGGTAAAATCAATAGGCCTTGACAGGAGTGGATTTGGAGTGGGGGGAGGTAAGAGAGCGTGAAGAGTGGAGGATGACACCTAGGCTTCAAGCCTGGGTGATTGGGAATATGGTGGTGACCTCAACCATCATAGGGAAATTTGTAAGGGAAGAGTGGATGAGTTCAGTTTGGGACATGTTGAGTTTAAGACGTTTGCAAGACATCCACATTGAGACATCTTGTGGTGCAGTTGGAGGTGGGAGACTGAAGATCAGCAAAGAGGTTAGGGCTGGATAAGTAGACCTGAGAATCATCAGCACAGAGATGAGTACCAGTAGGTGCTTAATAAATGCTCATTTCCTTCCTTCCTATATCTCAAAGTCAAAGAGTCTAAACATTTTTTCTCCTAAAATTCTGGTAGGCAATACATACCCAGAGCAAAACCACAGCAGAGATGAAACTCACTCACCTCACCATCCCATTCCAAACAACAGCTATTTAAGGTCCAATGGGATAGCTCAAGAGAATGTTAAGAGGCAAGTTTGCTTCTTTGCCAAGCTAAGGATTATGAGAAATACACTTTCCCCTAATTTCTCAGTTTTCTCATTATCCACCTTCCATAAGAATTCACACCATGAACTCAAAATACATCTTCCTCACAAATGTATTACTTTAGGAGCCAGTAGAAACCAAGCAAATCACTTCTTACATTTTGGTAAGGCCAAATTTATTTATCTTTTAGGATTCACTTGTTTTCTTTTAGAATCTGGGCACTTCAACTTCTCATTTTCTGAGCTTGTTTATGTATTTCCCCCTGTCTTTTATCTTATTAAACTGGAAGAAAAAATTACAATGTGATAACATGATTATTTCTATACACACACACACACACACACACACACACACACACACACACACATACTGCTCCTCCTACAATAAAATAACCCCAAATCATCACAAAGTCCTACACAATACTTTGTTTCTTTTAGAAATTTTGGACACAAGAGAGCCCTGAACTTGAATTTTGACTCCAGCACTTACCACTTATGTGATCATGTGCACCCTTCTTAACTTCTCTGAGCCCCTGTTTCCTCATCTGTAAAATGGAGACAACATACTTCATGTAATAATTGTACTAGAGATACTAAAGACTAGGAAAAAGTCAATAGAACTCTGAGAATTACCTTGAAATGGAAAAAAGGAAGAAGATTTTGTAAAATACACACCTACAAGTTATTCTACCTGAGGAAAAAATAGAAGAATTAATGCAAAACTCTAGCTTACAAATGTGAAGAATAACACCCAAATGGATTGCAAAAGAACAGGTCTTGTTGGATACAGCCTGTGAGACTAGTAAGTACTGTGTTCTGTGTTGGGTCAAAAAGTAAAAAGACGCTATTACCAAAAGCCATAGCTACCATGGAATCAAGCAGCAAGGGAAGAGTGAGGATTAAGGGAAAGGAAGACTTTTGCAGCCCCTGTAGCCATTACAACTGACATCTCTTCTATCACTACTTCTCTTTCACAATAATTCCACGAATTGAAAGGATTCTGGGAAGATGGCAGAATCGGTTAGAAAATGTCAAGCTCTCAAGATTTTCCTCCACAAAAATAAAATAGTGCCTCTGGGTGAAAATAAGTAAGGGTAGGGGCAGAACAGGGGTCCTCCTGGGACAATCAGAGAAAATCTGAAGAAAAATCCCAAGATGAGATTTCCTTCCAGTGAAGAGTAAGCACTTCCAGGCTAGGGACCACTTAAACAACCACAATACGCCCTGGGGTTAGCTGGTTTGGGACTGCTGCCTGGGCCCCAGCGGCAAGAACTTTTACCCCAGGGACAGTGAAGGGAGTTGGGCGTCTGACCTGGGGAAGATCCAGGGAACCTCTGCTGACGAGGAATGCCAGACCCAGCTGTGCTGCAGCTCGCTGCGGAAGCAAGAAGCAACCAGCGCATGCCCAGTGAGTGCAGAAACAGCGGGGCCTGGAAAGCCTCTAGCTGTGGGCACTTAGGGGAACCTGGAGATCTTTGAGTTCAAGGTCAGAAGGGTGAACTGAAGAGGATTAGAGGCACCATCCCTCATACCTCAGGATTAGAGGTGATTATAAAAAATAAACTTTTATAAAAAAATGCACAGGCAAAGGAGAAAGAATCCAACCATACGGAACTATGGGAATAGAGAAGATTGGGGTTCATCTTCAGAGGAGGATACTGAAGCAAAGAAACCTTCTTCTACCCCAAAGAGTATTGCCAAATGATCACCTGCCCAAAATGAATTCATTGAAGAACTTAAAAAAAAGACTTTAAAAATCAAATTAGAGAGACTGAGGAAAAAAACTAAAAAGAAAAATAAGAATAATCCAAGAAAAACAAGATTATGAAAAAAAAAAAGTCAACCAATGAAACAAGGAAATCCAGAATCTTATGGAAGAAAATGACTCCTTGAAAATCTGAATTGGGCAAGGGGAAGCCAGTGAAGTTATAAGAAATGAAGAAGTTAAATACACACATACATACATACATACATACATACACACACACACACACACACACACACACATATAATGAAAAAATTGAGGACAAGGTGAGACATCTCAAAAAAAAACTGGAGAATAGATCAAGAAAAGAAAACATATGAATAGTTGGACTACCTGAAAGTTATGATCAAAAAAAAGAATCTTGATACAGTAACACAAGAAATAATTAAAGAAAATTGTTCTGAAGCATTAGAACAAGAAAGTAGAAATAGAAAAGATCCACCAAACACCACCTGAAAGAGATCCTACAAAAAAAAAAAACCTCATAGGAAAATAATAGCCAAATTCTGAAACCCCCAGCTCAAGAACAAAATAGTATGAGCAACAAGAAAAAAGCAATTTACATATGTTTGTACCACAATTAGAATCACACAAGACCTATCAGTGGAGATAGGTCTTGGAACACTATATATTGAAGAGCAAAAGAACTGGGCTTCTGGCTGAAAATATCATACCCAGCAAAGCTAAGTATAACCCTGAATGAAAAAAAAAATTGACATTTAATGAATTGTCAGAATTCTAGGACTTTGTTAAAAAACCCACGTGTACAAATATATTTATGGCAGCTCTTTTTGTGGTGGCAAAGAATTGGAAACTGAGAGGATACCCATCGATTGGGGAATGACTGAGCAAGTTGTGGTATATGAATGTAATGGAATACTATTATGCTATAAGAAATGATGAACAGGCAGACTTCAGAAAAACCTAGAAAGATGTGTGGTCTGACGCTGAGTGAAGTGAGAAGAACCAGGAAAACATTGTACACACTAACAGCCACATTGTGCGATGACTGATATTGATAGACTTTACCCTTCTCAGCAGTAAAAGGATCTAAGACATCTCCAAAGGCCTCATGATGGAAAATGCACTATCCACATCCAAAGAAAGAACTATGGAATTTGAATGCAGATTGAAGCATACTATTTGCTATTTTTTTCTTCTTTTGCATTCTGTTTCCTCTTTCTGGTGGTTCCTCCTATTGGTTCTAAATCTTCCTTACAATATCACTAATATGAAAATATGTTTAATAGGAATGTATATGTATAGCCTGTATCAGATTGAGCACGGTTTTGGGGAGGGAGGGATTAAAAATTTTAAACTCAAAAGCTTATGGAAGTGATTGTTGATAAATCAAAGTTAATTAATTTTTTTTAAAAAAACCCTGAATTCAATAGAAGATTTGACATACAAGAGCCAAAAGAAATATAAGGAACATACCAATGACCAATTACAAGGGACTCAGTAAGAATAGGATGCTTACCTTTTATATATGTAGAATGCAAAACCTATATCTAAGATTATTATTAGTAATTATAATATAGTAGCTTATAAGAAAGATTAGAGTAGACCTGAGTATGATATGACTTTGAATAGTAAAACTGTTTCAGAGCAGCTAAAAAAGTAATTATCTTATGCAAATGAGGTACAAGAGGAGAAGCAATATAGAAGAATTAGATGGGGGAGAGGAGTCTTATTTCTGGAAACCTGTTTTCATCAGGAATGGGTTCAAGATGGAAAAATACACATACATCTAGAAGAGTATAAAAGTCTTCTAAATTTAGAAAGGAATAAAACTCTAAGAGGATAGGGAGGGGGGAGAGGATAAAGGAGGGATCTTTAGAGGACAGGGAATAGGTCAAAGGAGTGCACAAAAGGTTGTTTAGATTTAGGGGAATGGGAAGATAAGAGAGGGAATGCTGGAGGTGGGTAGGTTAAGTAATAGGAGGGCAAGGTAGCAGGTAGAAGTAAAGTAGAGGACCCAAGAGAAATAGGAAATAATAAATATGCACAATCACAAAAAAACCCAAAGGTTTGGAGTAGAATCTCTCAGGGAAAGTATGTGTTTATATATGTATATACGAATATGTGTATTGTATATATATACATATATATATATATATGTATGTGTATGTATAAATCAGTATCTGTATATAAATATATCCGTGCTTAATTGTAGCCTCAGGCTGGAGGGGTAGGAGAAAGGAAAGAGAAAAAAAGAACAAAGTAAAAAGTATACAGCAGAGAAGAAAAGAAAGCCTACAAGGAAGCAAAGGAAAGATCAACAGAATGTGTAGTATTTAATATATAAGCTTTCTTGAAATGAAAAGTTATTGCTATATATTCTGAATCTTCTCCTATGTTCTGCTGTGCACATGACGTTTTTTTCCTTTTCTTATTTTATATTCAAGTTTTAACAATGTTTTTCTTTTCTTATTATGTATTTAAGTTTTAATATTTGTCTAAAATTTTTAAAAAATAATTAAAAAATAATTCCACAAATTCACAGTTCTATACTACTTTTCAGTTTGCAAAGTGCTTTACCCAAAATGATTCTGTGTAATAGGTAGTGCAAATAGTATTTTGATTTTTTTTGCAGGTGAGTAAACTAAGGCTCTTAGAAGTGATATAACTGTTCCAAGATTTTAAGTGGCAGTTTAAAGAAAGGAATCTTCTGACTCACAGTATGTGAACTACAATATATCAATCAATAAACATTATTAAATGCCTACTATGTGCCAGGTACTGTGCTAAGCACTGGGGATACAAAAAGGAAAAAGACAGTTCTTGCCCTCAAAGAGCATACAATCTAATGGGAAAGATATCAAACAAATATATACAAACAAGTTATATACAAGAGAAATAGGAAATAATTAGCAAAGTGAAGGATGAGGAGTGTTTGAGAAAGGCTTCCTGCAGAAGGTGGGCTTTTAGCTGGGAATTAAAGGAAGCCTAGCAAGCCAATAGTTAGAGATGAGGAGGGGAGCATAACAGGTGTGAGGGACAGCCAGAGAAAATGCTCAGAGCCAAGAGATGGAATGTCTTGTTTGTGGAACAGCAAAGACAGCAGTATCACTGGATCAAAGAGTGCATGGCAGAGAGTAAACTGTAAAAAGACTGGAAAGGTAGGAGGAGGCTTAATTATGAAGGCTTTTGAGTACCAAATAGAAGATTTTCTATTTCATCCTGGAGACAACAGGAAGCCAACCGTAGTTTATTGAATAAGAAAGTGTCATGGTTAGACCTGAGATTTAGGAAAATCACTTTGGTGGCTAAATAGAGGATGGATTGGAGGATGGGGAGACTTGAAGGAGGCAGACCACCAGCAGACTATTGTAATAGTCCAGATGTGAGGTGATGGGGACTGCTCACGCAGCTAGGGAATAAAAGTTAACTTAATGTACAACTATATGTTGATATTCTACTAATAATGGGTCCCCTTTTATGAACAAGATTTTTACAACACAGTTTCAATGTCTTTAGATAGGAGTTTTGTTTTGTTTTGCTTTTTGGTGAGGCTATGGGGGTTAAGTGACTTGCCCAGGGTCACACAACTAGCAAGTGTTATGTGTCTGAGGCCAGATTTGAACTCAAGTCCTCCTGACTCCAAGGCCAGAGCTCTATCTACTGCACCACATAGCTGCCCCCAGAGATAGTTTTATTCAGTGCCATTGACTTGGAGGATCATGGGACCATAGAAGGGACTTCAGAGATCATCTAATCCAAACCTTTCATTGTGCTGATGAGCATAATGAGATTTAAGGGATTAAATTAGTTGCCCAAAGTTTCATAAATAGTAAACCTTGTAAGCGAAATAAAACCAGGTCCTCTGACTCTAAAGTCAAAACTCATACCAGTGATCCACATTGCATACAAACTTCTTTTACCAGTAGTAATCTAAGAATTTCTTTCCTATATATCTACCAGTGTGAGTTCT